ACAAAAAAAAAAACAAAAAAAAGGGATAAAAGAAGAATGATATACGTCGGCTGTTGAAATCTGACAGGCATTCAAATGAGTCACTATCGGCTAACTATTGGTTCAGGGCCACACAAGCTTCAGACTTTATCCACAAATCATTAAACCTTATTCATCGGCCTATAGCATGCTCTTGCAGGCCGAACATGTTGGCAAAGTCCGTTTCATCCGTGTGACAATATTAGTCGAGCTTGGGAATTTTAGAGTTGTTACTAAGTAAGCCCGATAATTATAAGACAAATGTTCGGTTCTGCTCAATTCACTTGTTCCATGCCGTAACTTCAACAGCGTTTCACAGCAATTTCAATAGCTGCAGCTGTAACTATTAAGAACAATGCCCGTTGACGAAAATTCTCATTTTTTCGAAAATAATGGAGTTAAAATTCATTATCACCTTTACGGGCAGGGCCCAGCATTGGTTTTTGTACATGGCCATCCAGATAACGAAATGACCTGGTCGAAGCAGATTGATGACTTCTCTAAAGACCATACTGTCATTCTCCCAACTGTACGAGGATACCCACCCAGCGACGTCCCATTATACGAGAATGCCTACGAAGGCCATATAATGGCAAGCGATATGGTAGCACTTCTGGATCATCTGGACTTCGACAAAGCCGTCTTCGCTGGCGGTGATATCGGTGGTATCATCGTCCAGAAGCTTGCCTGGTATCATCCCGACCGGGTTGCGGGACTCGTAATCTTCAACACCTTAATCATGGGCACTATGATGCATCTTATCCACCATGACAAGGAACAGCAAGAAATTTCCAAGTTCTCGGTAAAGTTCATCAATCACAATCCTGGCGACCCTTGGGATGTGGACCATGTGGTCCGTACAATTGAAGATCCAGAATATCGTGCGAAAATCAAGAAATATCTCCAGGAATCTCCCGAAGGTGGCATGTTCTACTTCTTCCGTAAGAACTACCCTGGACCTCCTTACGGCCAAGATATCGACACCTCAGGGATGCATTATACAATGCCCTGTATTATCATCTGGGGAATGAATGAACCGTATTTGTCTGATAAAATTCTTGACGGCTTCTACAAGTGGTTTGATCAGTCTGTCCGGGTGGTTACACTCCCCAACGCTGGACATTGGCTGTGGCGGGATGATCCGGTTAAGGTGAATAGGGAACTGCGATGGTGGCTGAACGCGCTTGAGGCCGGGAAGCTCTAAATGGACTACCATGCGTGACGAACCGGAATCTATAGATTAGTATAGGCTGTAATTCAAGGGACAGACCTCGACTTCTAGGTTTATGTTGGCGGGCGGTCAGGTCGGTAGACGGGCAATCTTAATACCAGCTAATAATAGAAGGAGATGGATCTCTGGTATTACAATCTGGTTATTTTATGAGTGCTGTGTTAACAACTGGCTATCTAAGCTATCTAATGAGTGTAATGAAGTGAACTTATATACCCAGTTGGCTGGGCGTACTCGATGGAGATTCCGTCGAGTTGTACTCGATCTACTTGATGACCGATTTCCTCGAGTTGTTTTTGATTGATGGGCGGAGATACGCTGATCCGGTTTGTCCTCCCCTGTAGGCCCATTGTCACGACCTATATGTATTGGGTCGTGACACCATGTCTAAAGCCATATGGGCAGGGTACTGATGCAAAGAATCCACTGACTTCGCGTAGATAGGGTCAAATAAAATAACATAGGAGATTACCAAACCTCTACAACGTAACATATCAATATGGGGAGAAGTTAGGTCTACTCACGGTTTAATTGCATAGGATAGACTTGGATTACATTGAGGATGGTGATTTATAATACTCTACAAAACGAGGATCTCCGCATACGCGACGCAGGCTGATCGCCCTTCCATTGCTAGGACATAAGCGCCCTTTCGTCATCGTTTCGTCGTGAGGGCAATGCATGCCGTCTAGTTAAGACAGCTACGCGGGTCACAGTTATCTTCCCGCATGTTCCATTTCCCTTCTCTAGGGAGAAAAAAGTGGATTCCTGTCGCAAAGTCTGTGCATTCCGTACATTTTCGCTAAATGCAATAGAATGACAATGCCCCATAGTGCTAAAGTATATATATATATTTAGCTTTCATGAAAGGCTTCTTATTCTGCCAGCTGATATTTCGACAAGGCCACACACAGTCGCGGCAACTGAATCTATGCGAGCCTAGTGCCGAGAGCACGAATGCCCTAGGTTTACCGGGGATTTAACCTATACACTTAATGCAACTGAAGACATCCTAACATTAGGATAAGCTATGCAACATTAACGAAACTACAAGTATACACTACATTGCTATAAGCAGGCAAAGCGTCATTAAAACATATAGTTCATTAATCCAGGAGAACTATTTAAGTGGGCATATATGCCTACACAATCTACCTAAGCTAATTCTTAATTGCGGTGAGTTACTGTAAAATAGGGAATATAGGGAGATATAGTATATATCGCAGACTAAAAGCGAACTAGTACTTACCTATTTACTAAGATATAAGATAAAGAGGCTTATATAATCTTAATGGATAACTTAGGAATTTTAATAAAAATGCCGAGCTCTAGTATTATTAGATATACTTAGGATAATATATTAACGCAGCTATAACTATCCTGCTATATTAACTACTTTTCCCACAATTAGACCTAAGAGGCTATTTAAAAATCCTAGAAATATATTATATTAAACTCTAGTAAGTAATAATGCAGCTTGCTTAGGAAATATATCCTTAAGAATATAGGTAAAATATATAAATAAGCTAAAGATAATACTATTAAAAGCCTTAAATTAGTAAATTAAGCCAGTGTCTATAAAAGGGAAAGCCTAACTAATTTAAGGTATAAGGACTATAATACAACGTAGCTCTATAGACTATTATAAATACATGTTAAGGGTAATACTAAATAATAAAGCTATTTTAAGCTTACCTAATAAGAAACCTAGCCTAAAAAAAATAAGTAAACTAAAGTGTCACAACCCAATACTTATAGTTATAACAATAGGCTTACCAAGTAAGCAGATTTAAATTAACTTAGGGCCAAATCTCTAATTAGGATTAGGTTAATAAAAATTAACTTTAATTTATTATAATCTAATATTTAGAATTAATAAGAATTACTATTTATCTATTATAATCTAGGAAACCTAACTGGATATATAAGTTTATTTCTTTACACTTATTAAATAACTTAAATAGCTAGTTATTAATATAAAATTAAAATTATAATACACTCTATAGCTTACTCTTTAAATAATATTATTATTTATTACTTATTATTACCTATAAATCTCCTAACTAATCCACTAATATAAACTATAGACTAGGTTTATTCCTTAGGAATTTTATAAGCTATTAATTATTTAAGATATTAGTAACTTAAGTTATTATATATTAATAACTCTTATTTAAATAGTTATTAAAT